GAAGGAAGGAAGGAAGGAAGGAAGGAAGGAAGGAAGGAAGGAAGGAAGGAAGAAAGAAAGAAAGAAAGAAAGAAAGAAAGAAAGAAAGAAAGAAAGAAAGAAAGAGAGAAAGAAAGAAAGAAAGAGAGAAAGAAAGAAATGCTTTGGAATTATATAATAATACTGATTACACAACTCTGACTATATTAAAATATATTGGAAAACACTTTCAAAAAGTGAATTTTATGGTATGTCAATTATATTGCTAAAAACAATGAAGGAAAAAATTTGCTGGAACTACAAATGATCTTTGCAATGTTTATTCCTGATGACAAACCAAACAGAACCCTGAGCAAGGCTAGAGAAAGCTTTGTAATAAAATAGAGCTGTGTTTAAAATGTGGCAGAAAACAGCCCCTAACATAATGCTGCTAGGTGAAGGGGCAGTTGTATAATTTTGTCAATAAACTTTGCTTCGATATGTGTTTTGGCTTGAGTGGAACATTGTTCACCTTTTGTGAACATCAACAATTGTAATGGAAAGTCCTTTGTGTTTTCTCCCAAGCAGGATTCAAGATTCAGCAGACAGGAAAGCGGCAGTCCGTGTTCCATTCCTATTCAGATGGCACTTCCTCAGCCAGTGGCTAAAGTAAGAGACCATGTAGGTATGGCTCTTGGCTCCAAAAGGGAAGGTTGACAAGAACCTAGTGAGGCTCCAAACCCTACCCACTTATTGGAAAAAATGTTCCTAGAAGATAAGTCAGGCATTGGCTGGGAAACTGGAAAGGCTAGAGTGTATAAACCAGGAAGGCAGAGGAGTTAGAGAACTGGAGAAAAGGAAAACAGATTTGCGCTGATAATCCTTGGGCGGAAGAGATTTGTGTCTTAATAATGGAACTGCCTAAATTACCACGATTAGGAATTTGTCTTAGAGCTCAGAGGATGGCTTTGAAAAATATCTACTTTTTATCTTTCTGAGGTTATTTAGAATTGGGACTATGAGTAGATCATGAGTAGATCCAGTAAAGGAAAGATTGGAGAGGGAGCGTTTGGGAATTCAGGCAGTGTGCCAAGGAGGGAAAGTTTTCAGTGTAGGCTACAGACTCCTGGTCAGAAACCAAATTGCCTGGATTTAAATCCTGGGTGTCGTTTAGTAGTTGAGTGACATTGGACAAGTTACGTAACCTCTCTCTGTCTCATTCTCCTTGTCTGTGAAATGAGGAAAACAATAGTAGCACTTTGTAGGGCAGTTTGTCATAGTGCTATATAGGTGGTAGTTTTTATAAGAAATCAGAAAATGAACAGCAATAAACATAAACCCATTGCAGAATTATACATTTCTATGCCTGTGTTCATACCCATACAATGTGCTGCACACACTTACACACAATATGTTAATAAAGGAATCATTAAATGAAAGACATTTAGGAAATCTTATTAATTTGCCCTAGAAATCTATGCTTTCATTTTCAAGGGCTCAGACTCTTAAGTCTAATGGGGTGTTTGATGGACCACAGGGATAAGCAGGTGAGAATATGGAGACAGGGAAAGAATTCACATCTCGCTGAGCAATACATTCTCCAGAAGAATCCTAGACTGCTGAGAAAAGCAAGCCTGGCTGTTGAAGGGCTTGGCAGCGCTCATCAACTCACCGGATGGCAGGAGGGAGCAAGGCCCGAGTTACCCTTATAATCCCACTTAAATCCATCACTTTCTACCAGTTTTGCTGTGTTTGGAGAAACACTTTCATTGCGAAACTATTTATTTGGTTGTCAAATTTTAAAGTTATAGTGTACTATGCACTTATGTATATTTCCTTGGAAGTTTGTGGAATAAAAAAGGGAATGAGAATAGCCAGTTAACAGTAAGTAAATAAAGCTAATACAAATAGTCAGATTCTATTTTTAGGTAGAATCCTCCAATTCAAAAAGGAATTACTGTTATGCCCTAATAATGTAACTTGTAAAGAGAGAAAAACAATTATTTTCTAAAGCTCTATCTTAGGTTCAGCTCGTTGATTAGTTTACATGCACTAGACAGACCTGGATTTGATTTCTGCTCCACTTGGTGCTCAGTGTGTAGCTCAAATTTTTCAACTTGAGCTTCATTTCCCTCTTATGTGAAGTGGTCAAATATTAGTCACACATCCTCAGAGGTACTTAAGGACTTGACAGAGTAGTTGGCACATACGAAGTGTTTAAAAATTCTAGCTATTATAATTTTATTCTAAATTTATGTTACCTTATAGCTATGCTCTTGTATTAAGCCAATAATTTATTTTGGTTCTTGGATTTAAGAAAACCCAATGGTTCCATAGCTTGTATTTATCATGGACATTTATTTCTTCTTGAATTACAATGGCTCTGTTGTTGACCCTAGAATTTACTATTACTTCATTGACATCTTTGGATAAAAGAGAATAATTTGATATTCAGTTCATTATTTATGTAAAGCTAAGGAATCAGCAACCTACACAGCTACACAAAAATCCTAGAAATGGCCATTTTGGCAAATGTGCTTACAAAGAAGCACCTATGTATTAAGGCTTTTCTCAAGTAGCAATTTGTTTCCATAGCACCTAAGTAGAAGACATTTCCCATTAGACCCTCAAAGCAGAAAAACATCATGTAGTTTAAAATCCCAGGTTTTGGTATGAAAAAATTGTATTTTCCAGTATACATTGACAGTTGGTTTTAGAGCTGTTTTTCTTGTTAACTAAAAGTCATTCTTAGGCATAATTTGAATTCATGTTAACATTCAATGTTAAAAGTTTGATATTTGCTTGACCTATAAGATGCATCATACAAGTTTCTAAAATCTACGGTCTTTTTTGCTTAAGGAGAGAAAATAACATAATAAAAGAGAAAACGCCTTCTTAGTAAAGAAGAACTTAGGAGGAGGAGCCCAAGAAAATTTCAGGATGTGAAGTCAGTATGCTCATAAATAAGGAAGAAGGAAATTTAGTCATTATTTATTCCTTTATTTTAGAAATATATATTTTAAAACTTCTAAGTACCTAGCACTGTGCTAAACACATTGGGGACACAGAATCATGTAAAACTGTCCTCTGCCTTCAAGAAGCAAAGGAAGAAGACTGGGCTATCAGTGGTTATACCACAGTGTAGAAAATGTTTCATTCTCAAGAGGGTGTAGGACACTGTGGGAACACCATGGGAGGGAAGACATGGAACCACCAAAAAAGAGGAAGAAAAGAAAATGAAGCTGCAGAGAGACACAAAAGAGACTCAGAAAAAGCAAAAACGATTTTTAATAAAGAAAATGTCTACCCTTCTAAAATCAACACATGTAATACTTTGTGTGCATACTACATCAAAGATATGTCTTGTTCTTCAAAATATTTTTTCTCCAAATGATTCTGAGGCTCAATCATGATTACAGGATACATGAAATTAAATATATTAACATGACACAACTACTCAGAACTCTATATAGTGCATTACTTAAAAGACTCCACAAGGCACACAGTTTATACAGGTTAACATGGGCTATATGAAGTGTTTTCAGTTTTCAGGTATTTATCCCTGCTAGCCAGGGTGAACATTCTTTTAACACTGTACCTTGGTGTCCTTTTTTGAAGACGGACACTGAAAAGTCAAAATGAGTTACTACATAGGCACTGATGTATGGAAAATACACTGTGTTTTTATACATTGTAAGCTGTAAATGCCTTTCAAATTGCATGTATATTTATGTTAGAAAGCTTGACAACTTGACAAACACTGAACAGTTTGTGAAGAATGGAAAACCCCTTGACCATCAATTCAAATAAATATAATTCAACTACTTTTAGAGTTATTAATTTAATTATTAAACTGATTACTTTGAAATCCTTTGATTGTTGGGTACCAAAACAGTTTTGAAATCAGGCAACTGCTTTTTCATTTAATTCTTGTGGGTAGCCCAATCCCCCATGGTATTTACAGCTGAGAAGTATATTTTTATGCATTTTTTCTTAAGTGATAATTAAGAGCAAATTAAATACTGCCTTACAACTTAAAAAAATGCAAATCACTTCTGAATGACTTTAGACTGTAGGTATGCAAGACATAGACTCTCTTTTACCTCCACATCCTGAATGCTACTTGCAAGCTGTCACCTCTGTAACAGACTGAAATGATGCCTACTGTTACGTTAGGATCACCCCAACCTAGTGACAACCTAATCAGGTTGCTCAATGTAATGAGAGTATCAGGTGCAGTGCTTCTAAAGTCATTGATAGTAATACTTTAAAGACATTTCAGTCCAATAAATACAATATAAAAAGTTTTTACAGTATATGCATACATTTACAAAAAGTACTTCAAGGATGTCTGGTCAACACTATTTCCAGAAGATTCCAAAGCCCATATATTTTGTTCCAAATGTAATTATGACAGTTACAACAAAAGCAGTGAAAAGCAAGACAGGAAGATCTTGGTTTTTCTTCAATGAGTTCAACCCCATTCCTTGGTTGAACAGGTAATGAAAGCATGTTGCAGGTTGTGCTTGTTTTGAAATAGATGTCAGCTGGGGCCATATGCTACAGCAGTTTCAGATCATTATCATTGTTGTTGATTTTTTTAAATGCGACTGGGCTTGCTTGCTTCAAAGAAGTCTTAGAAACATCCGTGTGCATGGTAGACATAGCTATTGTCTCATAGTCATCATCTCGAGACCGGAAATCACAGAAGTTAAAGAAGAACTGCAAATCTCTCTGGAAATTTTTGTTCAGGAATCCATAAAATATGGGGTTGACACAGGTGGATATCATTGCTGTGAGGTGGCAGAGCAGGAAGAAGAGATTATGGTTGCATATAGCAATGACCTGATGGTTCCAATCGAAAACAATGTTAAAGATGGTAAGAGGAAGCCAGCAGACTGCAAATGCCACCACAATGGACAGCAGCATGATGTTGATTCTTTTGGTTTCACTGGACCTGTACTTATTGTCTCTCATCTTGTCCATCATATTGTTTCTCCTTTTTAAGCGCATATATATCTATAGAGGAAAGAGAAAAAAAATGCGTTCAAACAGAACCACTCATTGAATGAGGAATTCTTTAATAAGGAGGTAAAAATGGAAATGTTGGTGGGGGAAGGAGTTTTCTTACCTTAAAGTAGCAAATAAATATAAAACAGAGTGGGCCAAAATACTGCAGCACCAAGAGGAGAGTGGTATAAGACAACCTATGAGACTCCGATGGAAATTTATCAAAGCATACGTATTTGTCCTTGTACCCATCAAGTGTGAAATTCTGGAGTGGTTCATCAGTCAAGACTTGGTAGATCAGGAAGGGTAAAGAAGAAGCCACAGCAAGGAGCCAAATGACAGCAATAGCTACGTAAGCGTGTCTATTATTTGGTCTCCACCCTCGTGGGTTGATTATCAGCTGATGTCGTTCCACAGCAATGAGAACCAGAGAGAAAATGGACACAGTGATCGAAACACATTGCACGAAAGGATTTAGCTTGCACATCGCCTCACCGAAAACCCAGTGGTCCATTATCGTGTAGACAAAGGTGAAGGGGAGACACATGATAGCAACAAGCAAGTCTGAGAAGGAAAGGTTCACAATCAGGATGTTGGTAACATTTCTCATCTCTTTTTGTCTCAAGATGATTATGATCAAGGCCAAGTTTCCAGTGACCCCAAGAATTATCACGGCTCCGTAAGCAAGAGCTAATGTAAATATCATGGCCAAGGGCAGATGACAATCATCAATTTCAAAAGCCAAAAACTGGGAATTATTCTTTGAAAAATTATAGTAGATTGAATGATTTCCAACCTGGGAAAATACTGTTGAATTCATTTTGATTGGTTTGGTTGCTATCGATCACTTTAGATGAATGGACAGTACGTTTCTTCAAAGCAGATCAAATGTTCAGCTTATTCTTATTTCCAATATTGGGATCCACTTGTCAAAATTATTCTGAATTCTTCATTCCCTTGAGCTGAATAATCTGTAAAGAGAAAATGACCAATTGCATTATTAATTTTATTGAGGGCAGGCAAAATCAATTCTGACTCATAGTACTGCTTAGAGTGAAGACACTGAAATAAATAAACAAAATGAAATCTGTATAAATATCTTTTTAAAATAGCAGAAACAGTGCAAACATTTTGGGGGGGAAATTTCAAAATTTTTCATTGGACTTGCTTACACATCAAGTTTCAGCAACACAGTGGCCTGTAAATTAGTAAGGTGTGTGTAAATCTCATGTTCAAAGTCTTAAATAAACACTACTATCAGCACATTCCTAAACACTGTAAGAATATAAATGTATAACATAAGAAAGCTCATGTATAACATAAGAAGTTTAAAATGTAAGAAAAATATATGAAACAAGCAAAGCAAAACACAACAAAAACAAAACTACTTAATCCTTTGTCTTAAAATAGAAATGAAAGAATTCTTGTAGAGGTCAAGTTGTAACAATAGCTTCACCATACACAGAACTGCTCTTTAAGGCAGACATTACTTAACACAAATATATTCAAAAGGAAACGATTAATACAGCGAAACATCAAGAAACTTTGTCGTATGAAGGACTGCTGAAGGAATAGACGATGTTTAATCAGAAAAAAAAACTTAACAGGGATGGTATAGATGTCTTCTCATATTTGAGAGAGTAGCATCTGGCATAAGAACTGGGCTTGGAATATTATGTCTAACTACACACGTTTGAGGTAAGAACAAAAGGAAATATATTAAAAGAAACAAAACATTTCACATCCTTGTGAGGAACAAATGTTCAACCAAGTGGAATGTACTGCCTGCAAATCTAGCAAGTGTCCATACACAAAAGTTTATAACTATCACACGTCAGATTTTCGAGCTCTTGCACTTCCGTAGGATAACTCCGAAGCTCTTTCTTACTGTAAGATTAGATGGGTTTATTAATATGTCAGAAGCTTTTAAAGGATTTCTGAAGTTCTATTTTGTAAATATCCTCCCTCCCCTCTAGATTGTATACAGATACAATGCAGGGATCTAATTTTGATTATAATTTTGGTCTTTCACAGCATTTTTACCAACAAAACAAATTACAGACCATAGTTTTGTAAAAACTAAAAACTCCTTTTGAAAAAATTCTCTGATTGACCCTAGATTACTAAGTAAATATATGAGATTCCTTATGTTAACTAACAGACCATTGTGCCTATGTTAAGAAAGGGGATTTTGTTTCTTTCTTTCTTATGTGAGAACAATAAAGGAAATCATGCAGATTTACTTACGTTGAAAAGAAGATAATGCATTTAACGGACCAACAATATGTCACATTTTAGGTGGTGTCTCTAATGAACCCTTCCTTGAATGTTTTTGCTTTCTAGGATGTGGAGTGTTTTTTATTATACAACCACAACTTGAATTGATAAAACAAAAAGAATAAAAACAAAGGTTGCTAACATTAAGTGAGAAAGAAAGTATTAAGACTTGGAATGGTAGTGGCATGATATCAAGTGTGACTGTTATTAGAAATATGGCTCTCCTTTCCTCTATGCAACAACCTGCAATGCCTCCTAAACTTACATGGTAATCACACTTACTCTCTCAAGAATACCAAAGGCAAGAGAGAATGATCTGTGTCTCTAAGTTTCTGAAAAGAAAAAAAAAAACACACAACCCACCTTAAAGAAACAAGTAATATTCTAAAAATTCTTTGGCAATTTCTCACTTAAGAAGTCAAGAAAACTTTGCATCATGCTTCATATTCAGGTTGTTCTCAAGTTATTTATAACATTACTTACCAGTTAATTGTGAGTTTTTCCTCATTGTTAAAAGTAAAAATAGCTGAATAGGAAAGTATATTCTCTTTATTCTGTGACTCCTCATGGCTCCCTGTCACCAAGTGCCACCAGGTGAGTAAGTACCCAGGTATAAGATTTGGACTACTGCGTATGTGCCTCAGCCTGGTGCTTGAAGAGCTCTACATGCTGCCTCTCTCCTGCCTTTCACTCCTTGCTCTGTAACCCATTGTGAATGCTCGGTTCCAGGTAGGCAAGTCTCTTCACAGTCCACCGGTGTACCTGGCCTGTTCTAACACCTACACCTTCACCCCTGCCATTCCTCTTGCTGGGTGTTCTGTCGCATCATCAATCCAATTCCACCCATCTTTCAAAGTTCCATTTAGTCCCTCTGATCCTTAATTGGCTCCTCTCAATTACAATATAACCTTTTTAAGGGAGGTACTGTGTATATCTCACAGTACCTTGAAAATATTCGATTTAGAATAAAAATGTGTTGACTGACATAGCAGATGCATGGCTGGAACAGCAGGTTCTTCCGTGAGTTAGTCTTAACATCAGGAGCTGAGGTCGACTCTAGTCATTTTATATGCAAAATGGATGCTGATTTAATAGATTTAAATTTTTTTGTTGTTGATTTTTAGAGAGAGGGAAAGGGAGAGATAAAGAAACATTGACATGAGAAAGGAACATTGATCAGCTGCTCCTGCACACCCCCTGCCGGGATTGACTGGGAATCCAACCTGCAGCCTTTTAGAGCATGGGGCAATGCCCAACCGAGTCACACCAGCCAGGGCCAATAGACTCGTTTTATTAGGTAAGGTATGTAGGAAAAAATGTTCCACTTTGTGTTAAAAAAGAATTTGTTTCTAAAAGAAAACTCATTCATCCAATAAATACTTATTGAACACTTATATTGTGTCAGGCACAGTTTTAGTGGAGACAGTTGTGACATTCTCATTGAGTTTCTAGTCTTGTGGGCAGAGAAAGACAAAAATAAATTTAAAAAAAGAGATAGTAAGCCAGATGAAAATAAATGTTATGGAGAAAACTAAAGCAAAGAAGGGGAACTAGGGTTGCTGGGAGTTGCAATTTATTCCCCGGTCGTAGGCAAGGCCTCCACCTGCCTGAGAAGATGGGATGTGAGTTAAGGTGTGACAGTGGTGAGTGGGGAGGCCGTGCAGAGGTCTCAGAGATTGCATCCCATGTGGACAGAATATAATATCCTTAAGGCTGGAGTATATCTGGGGTTCTAAACAGCACTGGAAATGGTAAACAAAGGAGGAACAGGCTGCGTAGGGACCTATTCTGTGGGACAGTCTTTGACTTCCTCTGAGAAAGATGAGGAGTCACTGGAGAGTCTTCAATAAAGGCATGAAGTTACATGATTTGTTTTACAATTTTTCCTCTAGCTGCTGTTTTCAATAGACTTAAGAACAGGAAAGAAAAGAAGTAGGGAGATTCATTAAGAAGATAGTGCATTAATCCAGGTGAGAAACAATGGTGCAGACCAGGTGCAGACCAAGGTGCAGACCAAGGTGTTTGCAGAGGAAAGAAAGAAAAATGGAAATTTTACATCCACTGACTTTGATAAAATTTAATATGTATGGGAATTAATGCAAACACTTATTAAATTATCACAGTGTATGAACTACAAAGATAGCCTTCTTACAGATGATTTAAGGTAAATATACTGAAACTCAAGTACCTTCAAAATTATATTTGATTGAGGTTTCCTGTAAAGAATGGCATTATTCCTACTAAGAAGTTACCTTAGCTGTACAGAAAATGCAAACTCTTTTTTTTTTTGAAGTACCTGCAATGGTACTTTGCTATGTGAATTGCTGGGTAGTCATTCCAGTTGGATAAAACAGTTCCCCACTGAATAAAATGTATATTTTCAGCCTACCTTACTATAATTTCAAGAAAAAGTAATTGTCAGAAAACAACCATACTGAAAGGATTTATGTACATTATCTTTGCAAAAGAAAATAATTTGGTGTTTATTATTCCAACATATGTTTCTAGAATAAGCTATCCAACTATAGACACTGCAAAAATTAAAGATGTTAAATCTCATTATAGCTGGCATGTGCATTTACAGACAAAACAGACACACCACACACATCACCAGTTGGCAAATTAGCCCCTTTCTGAATGGACATTTCTTTCTCCTTTCGGATTAGAACGCTGGCCTTTCGCCGCCTGCTGTTCTTAGTGCTGACACGACCTGAAAATACAGCTTTCTGAATTCCATAGCCTGCTGCACATACATTTTTCCATATACTCAGAAGTGGCTGTTTACCTCATTTGTTTTGGAAAAGAAATGTCAGTCTAGTTACATGCAGCCTCCCAAAGTTACTGCAAGTTTATCTCCATGAGTTACATAATTCCCTGTCCCTTCCTCTCCAAGGAGGGCTTGTTCAACAGACAGCTGCCTATTAAAACAGTAAGTAAGACTAATAAAATCATAGCCACCCAGCAAAACGCCCTGGTCTGCAGGCGGGGGCGGGAAGCCGAGCTGGAGAGCTCTCTGCTCTCTCTTGCTTGATCAGGGAGACAGCCTGGACTCTGGGAACCAACAGCTACTGTTCCTCCATTCTGTCCGAGCAGAGACAGACAAACAAGCTCTGCACTTACCCCGGCCTGTGCCACCTAGCCAGTTATGCTCTCCCCTAGGATCCAGGTGGGTAGGGCACATCTGAGAGCTCTTTTTTGGAAAAAAAAAAAAAAAAAAAAAAAGGAATGTCAAAGAACACTCCCTGGCTCTCCTCCCCTAGATTTTAGCTGTGCGGCTTGCTTAGGCGCCCACAGTTTTCACATTGTGTAACCAGGTGAATTGCCCCAAATTTTCCTCATTCTTAAGCCCCTTCTGACCCCCCAACACGCACATCTGCCACCCATCTATTAGGGAACATCTCTACCTACGATGATGAGAGACTGGCAGAACAGAAAACAAGCAAGCCAACTAAAAACAAACCCACGGAGCCCAACCTCGGCCAGTTCTCTCTGGCCCAACATCAGTCCTCAGGACGCTGGCCTCCCTCCAGTCTACCTGGGCACCACCTGGGCACCACTGTAACACCACCCGCACCTGAGGTCCAGTCTTCTAACCCGGCAAGGCTCCCAAGATCGCTGTTCTAGAAAGAGCTAAAGAGTCAGATGATTAACACTGGGAGAGGGGAGGCGAGGGCGCAGCAGCACACGAAGAGGGCCCGGCACCGGGGGCTGGGGCTCGGCTGCAGCCCAGGCGCGGACACCACGAGCGTCCCAGGGACTAGCAGGAGCCTCGACCCGACAGGTGCCGAGGGAGGGGCACGAGGGCGGGAAATGGGCCAAGTGCACCCTCCCCGGGCCGCCCCAGCGCCTGCTCCTGGCGGAAACTCCAGGGGGCCGCCGGNNNACTCCAGGGGACCGCCGGGCGGAGGCGCCAGCCAGCCAGCCGACGAGCAAGGGGAAGGGGCGAGCAGCTGGGCCCCGCCGGCGCCGGGACCTCCTTACGAGAACCGGAGCGAGGGCTCGCACGCGCCCAGAAACCCTGCGGGGCGGGCGCGGATGCCGCAGGTCCCCTCCCCGACGACCCCGGACCCCAGGCGGGCGCCTCGCGACCTGCCCCACGGGGCACCCGAGCGAGAAGGCGGGCTCCTCGCGCCGCCCGGACCCCAGCGCCGGCTCCGGGCTCCCCACGCTCTCTCCCTTCCTCCCCCGTCCGTCCCTCGCCCTGTCCCACGAGCGCTTTCTCAGAAGTCCCTGAGAAGGTGTCAGCTGGGACTCACCCTCCGTCGGATGCGTCCGTGGCGCCCGTCGGTCGGAGCGGGGCGGGCGGCTGAGGGCGGCGCGGGGAGGGGAGACGGGAGCAGCCGGCGCCGCTCCCGCTCGGAC